AGGCCACCAAAGGGATCTCTGTCACACGTGGGCAAGTTAATACAAACCTTCTGCACATCCTGTGCTGCATTCTCCTCAGTGCGGCATCCCAGGCCTCTGTCAATACCTCCAATGCCACCTCATTGCTCTGCTCCAAGGCCCAAATATTCCAGCAAAGATATTTTCCCTTTGTTGTCTAGTCTGATTTTTCAAATGCCGCTTCAGATTCCTGCTTCACTGAATGCAAATAATATAATAAGCCTTTTTTCCTCCTGAAGAATACAATTCATAGGAAAGCATTTTCATGGCAACCCCAATTTAATATCCTTTTTTCCCCAAGATCATACAAACATCAATCTCCAGCCTCATTTGCTCAACTGTCACATCCTCCCATCCCACTGTTGCTCTAATTGCACACTGCTGAGCCCCCTCGATCGTTTCAGCATCCCTCGATAATGGCAGGATCAGAACTGAAGGCAAACATCCTCTCCTCTGCAAAGCGGCATTACAGCCTTTCATTTCTGCTTTTGATTCTTCTGTAAAACCAAGGCAAGGAAAGCACTGGCTTATTTCTGATACAGTGATGTTGCACCACAATCTCTTATTCAGTCTGTTCTCACCCCAGTGGATTTTTGTTTGGTATTTTTAACTCTAAACTTTCCAAGCAGCCACCTCCCGTTAGGTACTTGTTCCAACTGCTGGTCCTCCTTGGGATATACATCTTTATCACCTCGCTGAAGATAACAAGATGCCCTTACCCATTTTGAACACCAGATAGTCTTGATCCTCACCCAACACCAGTCCTTTGGCCCTTTGATTTCCTCAGCTTCAAAATACACCAGGAAAAGACTCTGTCTCCTTAAATTAACTTTCAAAAGTTAGAGAGAAAAGGCTGGGGTAGTTATGGCTGCGGAACACAGGAAGCACTCCTCATCTGCAAGTGGAGCTGGTAACGGTGTCTCTGGACAGCGGCAGATGTCAATTTGTTTAGTGCTTGGTGGGTTTCGGGTATTTGGAGAGGTTAGAGGGTTTATCCAGGACAAGATTTTTCCTTTTAATTGCATCTCTCTATACGACACTGCATCAAATGTCTTACACTGAACGACTGCACACCACAGACACTGCACTACTCTCACCCAGCAAGACAGAAATTAAAAGAGAGAACACTGACAGGTTTGTTTGCTGTGATCGGCTCTCCACTAGCCCTGGCACATGAGTCAGTAAATGCACTTTCCGCTTCCTCCAGGTGAAAGCAGATACAGTCCCATAATTTAATACCCTCTTTGCAGGCTTCAAAAGAGAAGAAGCCTTGTTGAAATACACCTTGTCTGACCCAGGAGCCCTCCCCGAGCAGTTCTGCAGCCTGACGTTCTGCTCCTGCCGCCGGACCAGGGCATGGCAGCATGTGTTCCTGCCTCAGCTGATCCCGTTCCCAGTCTTGTATCCCAGCTTAAAGTCTCCCCTAATGCCCTAAGACATAAGACGTGCAGTGCTCCGCTGTCGGACTGCCATAGCTTTTCCCTCAGTGTTTAATCTTGTAAGCTGTTAATGCACGGATCGGTGCTAAGCGGTGGGGTTCATCTTCTTCTGTATGCAAAATGTGCTTCCCTCTTGTCTGTATGTGGCAAAGACCACCCTTCCACTCCTCAGACCTCAAGCCAAATATTCCAGTTTAACCCAGTGAGAGTCCAGTCCTTTCTCCCTACTGTAAACCCTCATTTCCTTTGAAAGCATAATAGAAAATTCTGGCCAGGTGGTACCTTCACATTTCTTTGCATTTTTTATTTATTCACCACAGCCTTAATTTTTTTCACTATGAGAAACAAAATAAAAGCCCAGAGGCAGCCAAGCCTTGTCTCTGGAGATGCAGGCAGGTGCT